GCAGAACCAGTGATGGGGGGAAATGAGGGTCCCCTGCCCAGGCCTGACGCCTCTGTCAGAGATGGCAGGCCTGGGCAAGGGGCCGATCCTGCGATTGGATGGTGATGGGGGTCAACACCTGAGGGCTCCCAGTATGTGAGAGGGGGCAGGCTGGGATGAGGGACACTCCCCCCCACACACACACCCAGTGCACGAATTTCGTGCACCGGGCCCCTAGTTATATCATAAACTTTGAGAGACTCATTATATGTCTTTTCTTAACTGCTACATCCACACTGCCAAGCACCTTGTGTGACATATGGTAGACACTCAATGCAAACCTGTGGGAATAAATTGGCCCCGGACACAAAAAGGTAGGTAATAAACCTAATTACCTTTGTAGAATATTTTATAAATGCGAAATAAATCAGGGTAATTCTTCATGATGGTCTTGCTGAACAGTATTCCCAGAAGAGACATGTCGAATTTCTTCTCCAGTTCACTGAGAACATTATATATGACTTGATGTACAGGACACCATTTTTTAAAAGATTCTTGAGAATCCTTAAAAATAGTGAATGGAGAAAACATAAATACAGATTTCCAAGTTACAGAAGAGCCCTAGAGTGTGATTTTATTGTTAATACATCATAATTTCCCAACATAGGTATCTTCTCACATACAGGTTTAGAATTTCTCTATATTTGTGTGGCTACTAAGTGGAACAACTAAATCCTTCCTCCTAGAAAGCACTCATTTGTGAATCTGAGCTCCTCACCCTTGTTTACATGAGGTGGAATAAGGCGCCATTAGGAAGAACAAAAATAGTTTCATATGAAGTAATATGTAGCCCTTTCAGAGCCTGGATAAATGTTTTAGGAAGAGACTTACTGGGTGATGAGCTGCTATTCTATTGACTGTACAACCTTCCTTCCCCAGGACTGACTTGGCCTGGAAGCGCCTGTGAACTTTGCCATGCATAGGGAAAGTGAGGACTTGCATCTCTATATCTCCACCTACGTCGTTCACTAAAATTAACCAAAATTCTAAGACTCCATAAATACCAAAAGAAAAGGGGAAAAACAAAAAGGGAGCTGAAAACTGTTGTTGAAAGAATAGCAAGCATCTACTTTCAAATTTGCCCCACATTAATTCTCTGTGGATCTTAATTTTCTCTGTATTAAGTATTTAAATTGATGTTCACTGAGATGAAATGTTATGTCAATTATTATTTCATTAAATGAAGTCATTCAACTTATTCACCCATTCATTAAAATTATGTTTAATTCCTAGTTTATATTATACTGTATATATAATTTCTAGAATGCATTGTACACCCACTTCAGATCCAGCCTATCTCCAGTGCTATTCGTCCAACTCCCAGGGGGCACCACAGAGCCCATTCCTTTAGTCAGAATCAGGACTATCTCCAGTAATGACTGCTTCTCTTCTCTCCTTTTGACCTTATAGGAACACTTAATAGCAGTACTTAGGAAGATATCCACTCATAGGCGACTCCTCAGTTGCCCAGTTATGCTCTGACGTTTAATTCCAGGATATCAAAGTATAACTTAGTTTGGGATTGTTTTATCAGATTGTGACATAATAAACCTCACTTACTTCATACATTTCATTGGTGATGAACTCATGGTCACGGAGAAGTTCGAGGAAAGGAAATGTTGTTCTTATTGCATCTGAAATCTCCACCTTATATTTTTTGAAGTATTTGAGTGCAATGTCATTGATACTTTTGTTTTCTATGTCCTCATCTTGTGCAGACATACTAGGGAGAAGGGATACATGAGAAAATGGCCATCAAGGTTTTGATATGCTGTAACATTTTGTATATGAAGGAAAGATAGGCTGTGAAGAACCAACATAATTAAAATAAGTGGTCCTGAGTAAAGGTTAGAACAAATAGAATGGAAGCAATAGACAAAACTGTAGTAAAATGAAGCATGGTGGATTAGAAAGACATAATATTATTGAAAAATGCAAGCCTGTCATGATCAAAGCCATTGTAAAGTGATTTTGTACCAAACATATTGCAATTTTTTATCAAAATGCTTTAATTAGTACAAAAGTGAGATGGACTAAACAGATCATCCACAGAGGAATAAGAAACAATGGTACAACAATAAAATATAAGCTTAAAAATGTATCTTAATTAACAACTAAGAGAAAATAAATTTCAAAAAGATAAAAACATGGTGCTCCCTCCCTGATCTACACCAGTTTAGAGGAATAGCATTCTAAATTTTAAAACTAGTTCATAAATGATAAGAAGTGGTTTAATAATTATATGATAAAGCATAAGCTGGAATTTCACATGAATATCAATAATTTTTCCTGGAATTTCTGCTTTATGTTAATATATATGTCTGTGCTATTATTGTATAAAATTAATCTTTTTAGACATCTTAATTTCAAAAGTGGCTGCTGTTTCCTGTGAAAGTAATTGTAAACCTGAGTCTGTAATTCTGCTTCTTAGTTGAAAAGTTTATTTCCTTGGTAATAATGTTTTGTTTTTTAAGTATATTTTTTATTGATTTCAAAGAGGAAGAGAGAGGGAGAGAGAAACAGGAACATCAGTGATGAGTGAGAATCATTAATTGGCTGCCTCCTGCATGCCCTCCTACTGGGGATTGAGCCTGAAACCCAGGCATGTGCCCTGCACGGGAATTGAACCTTGACCTTCTGATTCATAGGTGGATGCACAACCACTGAGCCACGTCGGCTGGGCTAACAATAATGTTTTAATAGGCATTTTGTATTCTTAAATCATGAAGACTCATAAGCTTCCTTTTTGGAACCAGAAGAAAACTGGGCTCTTTCCAGTACCCAATATGCATCAGGGAATAATAATGTCACATTATTTTGTCAAATTCTGTAAAACAACAATTTCTTGTTTAATGATAGGAGAGAAATCATTTGTGTTCCTCTCTTATTAAAATGCCACTAAAGTTATACTTAAAAAATTGGCTTCACAATGACAAATAGAATGGCCAGGGGCAATGAGTAAATGAGAGATTTCAACAAAAAATGGTCAGAGGAGCATAATTGTTACTGAAAGTAAAGGTTGCTCCCTGCAGTCATGAAGGCAACCAGTTTGCCCTGTGGAATCTTGAAGGTGGCGGAGTAAAAGGGACACATGTTGCTTAACACTGATGTGCCATTTGAAAAATGAAGAATGGGGAAATGTCCCCTTCATCCCTCAACTTGCATCCTGACCACCTGGAGCCAAGCAACCTCTCTGTTGCAAACATTGCTCTTCTTTTTATCATCATACTTTCCTGTCACTTATGACTACATTTCATAAGTGGAATAATACATCATGTATGCTTATATGTCTGAGTTCTTTTGCTCATCATTCATGTTGTTGGGTGACTGGAAGTTTGTTCCTCTTATTGTTCAGTGATATTCCACTGTGGAATCTAATGAACAACATAAACTGATTAACACAAATAGACCCAGAGACATAGAAACATCAAACAGAATATCAAATCTCAGAGGGAAGGCAGGGGAGGTTGGAGGGGGAAGTGGGAGGGGCGGAGAACAACCAGTGAACTCATATGCATATATGAATAACCCATAGTCACAGACAACAGGGTGGTGAAAGCTTGGGGTGTGTGTGGGAGAGGGCAATGGGGGGAAAAAGGAACATATGTAATACTTTCAACAATAAATATTTATTTTTAAAAAATTAAACAAAAGCAGAAAGAGTATTTAGTTATATCCATAAATTAATTCAAAAGAAAATTGGAAATAGCTAGCAGCAATTTTTAGAAAAATTATATGAAATAGATGGAAGCTGACCCAATATAAAATCTCCCAAAATGACAAACACAACAGTAACCACTAAAATGATGAGGCCATTCATATAAAAAAACAGTAATGCCTACTATTACCACAATTTACATATATATAATATATACATATTTATATGTTTTAGATAATGTACTAGGATAAGAAAATGAATGTATTGATATAAATACTAAAATAAGATGCAACATTATATGATACTAGAGGCCCAGTACACGAAATTCGTGCACAGTCGGGGTGCGGGGGGGTGGTATCCCTCAACTCTGCCTGCATCCTCTCCAATCTGGGACCCCATGGGGGATGTCCAACTGCCTGTTTAAACTGGCAGTCAGACATCCCTCTCACAATCCGGGACTGCTGGCTCCTAACTGCTTGCCTGCCTGCCTGCCTGCCTGATTACCCTTAACCGCTTCTGCCTGCCAGCCTGATAGCCCCCAACTGCCCTCCCCTGATGGCCTGGTCACCCCCAACTGCCCTCCCCTGCCGGTCATCTTAAGACGGCCATAGGGGGCCTGAGGGAAATGAGAGGGTTCAAAGGTCATAAGAAAATAACAAATCACAGCCTCAACGCTTCAGAAACGACAGCCTAGTCCAGATGGCCCACAGCTGAGCAGGAGCTGTAAGACAAGAGTCCTGTGAGTTGTGGCAGCTACACTTACACCAGCAGCTGTCCCTCTGCAGTTTAAAGATCCAATTCCTTCACTTCATTACATTTCATTACATTCCACGTCAGCGTCCTTGTAAAATAGGATGAATGTCAAGGTTTAGACGAGTGTTTAATAACACACACTAAAGCAGCAGCACAGCCAGACAGAAAGTTAAAGGAAGGGAGAGAGACTGACCTGGTGCTGAGGTCGCTGCCTCTACTGGCCATCGTCCTGCCCTGGGCACTGCCTGGACCGCTAATCCTTCCAGTTTCCGCAGCCTGGGTCCGCCTGGCTGCTGATCCCTGGGCAGGAAGTAATCCTTCCAGTCTCTGCAGCCTGGGTCTACCATGGCTGCTGATCCCTGGGCAGGAAGTGAGTGATCTCATCCAGGGAAAGCTCCACCCAAACGGGGAAACGAGAAGTGAAAGTAACTTTTTGAGTGTTTTCAGACACTGTCTCCCCCCTCCTGCAGCCTAGGAGGGTGGGGGGACGGGTGGGGGGTCCTCAGCCATCAGGACATGTGGCAATAGGAGTGCAGGACAAGGAGAGACAGGAGGGACCTGGAGGCCAGAGGAGGAGGACCCCAGGGGAGGAGCAGGACCAATACCCAGGCGTCCCCTTGCTTGTGCAAAAACATGAAAAACACCTGTAAATCCCACTGTCCTCACCTGCTGCAACTTTCTAAGAGGGTGCAGAGACCTAACTCTTTAGGTCTCAATGTTCAGAAACAGGACTGAAGAAGCAACATTCTTGAGAGCGATGGTTTCTACATTTGTTCCCCTGAGCCCAACTTCCTGACTTCTTCTGGCTATAAATAAGTGTTCTCACCCTGTTTCATTTAACACACAGAGGAAGGTTCTGACCTCTCTCCATGTGTTTTTTCTTTTCTTTCAAAGGAGCAAACATCAAATCTGGACAGATTCCATACACTGATGAGATAAATATTTTTAACAAGAGCACAGAGTCTCAGTGTGACCCAAGTTCTGGACACAGGGGGGATCTCTCTCTCCCTGCCCAACCTCCTCTCTCACTTGGCCGGAAGAGGGACTGGTAAGCTGAGCCTTTGCTGAGCACAGCTGTCTTCTGTTCCCGACCTCCATGATGCTTGGGGCCCAGACAGAATTTGACACTAACAACATCAGTATTTTCTAGTGTCCCCTCTCTCCTCTGTCCCTAGGCAGCAGGCTGACTAGGCTTGGGTGTTGGCATAAATGTGCTAGCTTTTCGTGGGTTTGCTTAGACTCACCAATATCACCACATGAACTGGGGACTGATCACAGTCAACTGGCTAGGGAATCCACAGGGGCCAGCCTCCTGGGTGGATACCCCGCACTGAGGCTGCCCTGGCCAAGGGAAGGACACATTCCTGTGGAGCCAGAGAGAGCCAGGCAGCACCCTACTCTGCGAACAGCAGTGGTTTCTGAGGGAACTGGAGGCCTCTGTGGAGAAAGCAAAGATTTTTGCCCAGAAAACAATGCCAGACACACCCGGTTAGGAATGCGATGAGACCATCTTCAGAAGCAGGTTGCAGCCCTGACAATCTGCTGGGCTGATATGGAGGGAAGAAGGGAGGGCCTGGTATTGTACAGGGTAACAAGGGGCACTGACAACAGAGATGTTTCTGTTGTAAGGAAGTATCTGAGCTAGGGGCCTGGAGACCTGGAGAGCAGGAGAAGCAGCTACTGAAAAGGGACAGGGAGTGGAGAAAACACCCAGGGGATGGGCTTCCTTAGCCCAACCAGGAGCAACTTTCATTCAGATGTCACTAGTGGGCTGAGTCTCCAGCCTGGGAGACCCTCTGGGCACAGGGTTTGTCACTGAGAGGAGGCAGTGTCCCGGACCTGAGAATTTAGGGGCAGGAGGAAGCGGCAGCAGCAGTAGCAGCAGCAGCAGCCACTGGGCCAGGATAAAGAGCTGGCACCTCTGCGGATGCAGAAATAGAGAGGAGGGGCAACTGGGACTCAAGTGGGAGCACTCAGGCCCCACACCAATGTCCCCTTCTGGGAGGGGGCCCATCAGTCAACAGGACTCCTGGTCCCCCTGCCCTCCCTTCTTCCTGGGGAGACACTGTGGCTGGGAGTTCTATGAAGGTGAGTCTGCTCCTTGGTGGGTCTCCCTGGGCTCATCCTGCTGGAGGGGCCAGAGCTCTGTGCTCCTCTGAGCTCCAGTGAACAGGGACAGTGGTCTGGGTGTGGGGAATGTGTGTGATTAATATATGTGAGCAGCCGGGGGACCTGAGGCTAAGCCCCATTCTGGGGTTCAGACTTAGGAATTCTATTTTGGCACCATCTAAACCATGTCCCCTGATCCCGCTTTTATCAGGAAGAAAGCTAATTTTTGTAAAAATATATTTTTATTGATTTTAGAGAGGAAGGGAGAGATAGAAACATCAACGATGAGAGAAAATCATTGATTGGCTGTCTCCTGCACGCCCCCTCCTGGGGATGGATCCTGCAACCCGGGCAGTGCCCTGACTGGAAACCAAACCAGGGACCTCTTGGTTCCTTGGTTGATGCTCAACCACTGAGCCAGGCTGGCCAGGTAGGAAAACTGATATTTTTTAACCCTATCTCTATCTCACTTTTTGCCTGTCAGTTGGTTTGGAACTCAAATAAAGGAAACTTGGGGAGAGTTTACACACAGAATTGGTGGTTCTTCCCGTGATTTTCTTCTTTCTGAAATTTCCTTCCCCAAAAAGCCTGGGAACCCTTGCCTTCTTCCCTGGCTCAGGTGACCAGGAAGAAAGTGGACTTTCTTACCAAATTTTTACCATCTCATGCAAGCCTGTCGCGGCTCACCCAGCTGGGTGATAATAAACAAGAAATACCTTGTACTGGCTGCTTCTGAGATGGGACTTCGCTCCGCAGTGGGCTGCCTTTGTTCATGGTCCAGAAGCCTCAGCCAGCTGTTCTCTGAATATTATCCTCACAGGGATGTCCACCCACCCAGTTTACACAGAGGGAACAGGAGAATCCGTGGCCCCTCCGCCCAGACAGAAGGCACTTCTCTCCAGCAAAGCAGAGCAGGGCATGTGCTGATGCCCAGAGAAGCCACTCTGGGAGGTTCAGGCTGAGGGGTGGTTACCCAGAGCCCCTGGACCTTGGGAGCTCCAGGCCCTCCTGCAGCCACACTGTCCCAGGTAAGACCTCAGCTGAGCTCCCTAGCATCATAGGAAGCAGCTGATATCTGAGTCCAGGTAAATGGGACTGAGCAAATGACAGGCTTAGTAGTTTCCTTGCCCTAGGCCATCTAGTGGACTGGGGTGGAAACCCTACCTACTAGCATGATGACCAACTCAGTCTTTATCTCCATAGCACAGGACAACAGGACCACAGTTCTAGTAAGGAATCCCCAGGCTCTGTGGCCCCTCTGGCTGGCCTGGGACTGCCCCATCCTTCCTATTAGGCTTCTAGGTTCACCTCTGAGTATCCTCTAGATGGGTTCCGTCGATCAGACATGTTTTCCTTGGCCATCCAACCTCCTCCCCTTCCCTAACAGCACCCAGTTTTCTTTTAGCAGATGACTTCTTCCTATGGTGTGCACCAGTGGAGGGACTGTTCATCATGATATTGGCCCTTGAGCCAGCCAGGGCAGCCAGGCTCTCTTTGAGGAGATGGGCGTTGATAAAGTTCTTTAAGAAATTAAGAGAATAGTTGGAAACATTAATCAAAACTACAATGAGATACCTCCTCACATCTGTTAGAGTGGCCATTATCAATAAGACAAGCAAAATAAATGTTGGAGAGATGATGGGGAAAAAGGAACCCTCATTCACTGTTGGTGGGAATGTAGACTGGAGATTCCTCAAAAAATTAAAAATAGAGGTACCATACGATCCAGCAATCCCTCTCTTGGGTATCTACTTGAAAACCTCAAAATCTTGTATTCACAAAGATATATGCACCCCTGTGTTCATTGCAACATTATTCACGATGGCCAAGACATGGAAACAACCAAAGTGTCCTGTGATAGAGGACTGGATAGAGATGTGGTACACATATGCAATGGAATACTACTCAGCCATAAGAAAGAATGAAGTAGTGCCATTTGCAACAACATAGATGGATCTTGAAAATATTATGCTTATCAGTGGTTCTCAACCTTCTGGCCCTTTAAATACAGTTCCTCATGTTGTGACCCAACCATAAAATTAATTTTGTTGCTACTTCATAACTGTAATTTTGCTACTGTTATGAATCATAATGTAAATATCTGATATGCAGGATGGTCTTAGGCGACCCCTGCAAAAGGGTCATTCAACCGCCAAAGGGGTCGTGACCCACAGGTTGAGAACCGCTGTGCTAAATGAAATAAGTCAGTCAGAAAAAGCTAAGAACCATATAGTTTTGCTCATATGTGGGATATAAAACTTAAACTTATGAACACAAACTGCAATGTAGTGGTTGCCCAGAGGGAAGGGGTGGGAGGAGAAGGGGGTCCTAACATATGGTAACAGAAGATTTGACTTTGGGTGGTGGGGACATGGTACAAGATAAAGATTTTATAACATACAAATCCACACCTGAAAACTATGTGTTCATGTTGACCAATGTTATCCCAATAAATTTAATTTTTTAAAAAGGAATAGAAACCCTCTCCTCACCTAGCTGCCCCTCCCAGGACTTGCCTATTGGGTCATGCTGTGAGGATTCTGCATATTCTCTATTCAAGCAAGAAGCGAGGCTGGGTAGGGGGTCTGTCTTGCAACAAAGGGCAGGGGACTCTTTTGCATGTGAGTGGGTTCAGAGGTACCTGGAGTTTGGAGCTCTCATGTACAACTTCTTAGAAATCCCAATTCTGAGCTTCAGGGTTTCAATCCTATATCAGGGCCCTGACTGGAATAGAGGCCCAACTAGGCTTAGAATTCAGTCTTCTCTGAAGTTCTGTCATTCTTAAAATTAGGGCCTGTTTCAGGCCTAGAACTATTGCCTTCCAGCTGCATGTATGAGGATCCCTTTGTTTTAGGTGGTGACTAATGGATTTAAGTCTATCATATACTCTTTTCAATACATTCATCACACTTAGCAAAATCCACAGTTCTTTTCTTTTTAATGTTTTATTGATTTCAGAAGAAAGGAACGGGAGATAGAGATGTAGAAACATTAATGATGAAAAAGAGTCATCAATTGGCTTCCTCCTGCACACCCCCTACTGTGGATCCAGCCTGCAACCTGGGCATGTACCTGACCAGTAATCAAACTATGACCTCCTGGTTTGTGGTTCAATGCTCAACCACTGAGCTACACCGGCCAGACAAAATACACTCTTCTTATAGTT